CGTGTGCTCTTCCGATCTGAATTAACCCAAGTTTAAAGAATTTTTTCAATCAGCTTTATTTGGCAGCTCGACCACGAACAATCGTTGTCAAAGGAACATAAACGACGACGCTAGAAAATATAGTTACTAAGTTTTATATTAAATGTTCATGAGAAATTTGTTAATGCTAAATAAATTTTAAAATTGAAATCACTAAAACTGTGGTGATATTAAAGTCCAGAATTTATTTTTTATCATTTAGATAAAATTAGTAAGAAAAAAAGTGTGTTTATTCACAATACAGTAATAATGTGTTAAATTGTATGTTTTCTGTGTAATAGTAATAGATTTTTAGAGATTACATATTCAACCGTTGACCCAAGTTGTAAATTTTTGACCTGGTTGAACCGTTTTGACACGGATGACCCGGTTTACTATAACCCGGTTCTAAACTCTAGAACAGAAACAAAATTCAGTTATTTCTTCGATTTAGATTTGGCAAGTTTCTTTGCTTTTTTCCTTGGGGGCTCGTCGCCTTCATCCGTTGATGATCCAGCTCCAACGTAGTTCTCATCGTATTCTTCAGCTACATCACTTTCACTGTCTTCTAATTGAAAATCTTCATCAACTAAATCGAAGAAATTGGTCACATTAATGATATATATATATATATAAGAAAAAAATTTGATAAACAGAATCTTCTTTATTTTACCAGAATCTGAATCCTCTCCATCGATTGGCATCGATTCACTTTGGCGACGTTTGGATGCTGGAATCACCTCGTCGTCTGATGAGCCACTAATATCGTTCATGAACGTTTGTATTGTTTGAGTCTATATAAATAAAAATAAAATTGCGTTAAAGCTTAATACAAATTATTTAATTCAAAAAAAAAAATAAAAAAATCATGTGTACGTCAGAGGTATCGTTTTCAATTATAACTTTTTTACTGCGGAAGTATTCTTCTAAATGTTCAAATTCTTCTCTATAAACACAATCGGGGGGAATCACGGTAAGTATCCAAAGCGTAAAATAAAAATTTTATTTCCTTATGAATTACCAACCGATTAATACTAGAGAACTGGTATTCAAAATTTCCTTTCATTCTAAATTTCAGGTCAAAAGTCCTAGCGGATGTTATCGGGGCCTTAACAGCAGTAGCTGAAACTCTGAATACATTAAAATAATTAAATATCGGAATATATTAAATAATAGTTGCAAATACAAATGAAGGTCAGTATCCCTTTACCTGGTGAAAATGACCTTTTCGATCTCACTAGTCTTGATCAATGTTGGTGGTTTGGGAATAAATAAGAAACATTTTTCTAGTGGGTAAAGATAACCCTCATTTGCTTTAAGGGAACACTTTACTGCTACTTCTTCATGTTGACTTTAACCAATGAAAATGTAATAACGAATAAATTGATTAATTTCGGTAAAAACAAATGCATACATAATGTGAAGACAAACCTTTTAAAACCAGAAGGTTTAATTATTTTCTTTTTGGTCAGTTCACGAAAAACTATACTGAAAACATGATAAATTGCTCCATCATATGAAGGCTCCAATTTACCTCCATATTCTTTTTCAATAATATCGCTAATTTTCAGCAATAAATAAATATATTAAAAAAAAAAAAAAAAGGAAATAAATAGATAACAAACGATAAGTGACAAGAATACAAACGCATCGAGGTTTAAATTGAATTCCTTCTCCTCTTCCTTTTTAAATTGCAGGACAAGAAAAGGGTAAAGTGTCTGACCCTGTCTTAATGGGGGATCAAGACCAATCTGTGAAATAGAATTATTAATACAAGAATAGCAACTACTTGCAAATTAAACCATAAAGAAGTTGAAATATTACCACAAACATTTCATGAAGATCATCAAGTTTTGGTAACAAAAACAGACTCCCAACGCTAGAATATTGAACTTTGTAGTCATATGTTTTCCCACGTAATCTAAAGAAACTGGAAAACATTTCGATGTCGTATCGACCACTAAATATTTGACATATAAAAATTAAAATATGAATGAAATTAATGAATTGCAATGCAGAATCTTAATAACATTGTACCGTGGTGTAAGCAGTAGAACATCATTAAAGAGCACAATCCCTTCACCGGAAACCTGTGTAAGATCAGCCTTTTCTCTAACTTCCTCAAAGAATAGCTAAATTTAAAAAATGTAGTTAGTATTCACAAAGAACGTTTAAACAGTATCATTGCTATTATTTGCTTACACTTGCAAGACTCATTTCCTCCTCTTCTTCTTCTACTTCCCCACTGACTTCGTCCTCAGTTTCACCATCTTTAACGACCTTAGTTGAACCAGGAATATAGAACCTCATTTCAACGAGTTCATGTGTAGGATTCCTATGACTTCGAGTTTGTGCGTCTTCACCAAATTGTTCCGGTTGCATAAATTCGAGACTGACCTCACATTTGTTTTGAAGGTTAGTGTTTGAGACGTGTGATAGAGGGATTTCAAAGGCGGTTTTTTTACTAATGTTAAATAGTAACTGAGAGCCTGTATTTTTAATATCAAAAGATTTAATAAAATTATTTATTTGAAATATTCTCAATTGAAA